TGGTTGAAGAGGGGGAAGACCGTGAGCCGTCGGGTCAAATGCCTTCGAGTCCACTCCCATGCGTCGGGCTAGCCTTTGGTATATGAGGGCTTGAGTGAAGAACTCACCCCGATCATAATACTCCTTACCCTTGCAGGCTAGCCACATGGCACCGGGACCTTTCACCCAGGAATCCACCGAAGCCTCCACTACTGAGGCCACCCATTCTTGCCGGCCCTCAGCCTTCCATCCTTCGGAGACAAAAGCAGCGATGGCATCCTCCTGGGCCACAACGACAACTTTATTCTTGGCCTCCTCGTTGGCCTTCTTGACAGCCTCAGCGGCAATCCTCTCAGCTTCAGCCCTGCCCTCGGCTCTGACCACCACCTTGTTGTTCTCAAGGATTTTACCGAAGGCCTCCTCCAAACGGAAGGCCTCCTGCACCTCCTGGAGCTGCTTCCGGGCAGCGATCAGGACTTCATCAGCTTCTGCCCTCTGAATTTGCGATTGCTCCATCCTCTGGATGAGCTCGCCGAGCCCAAGGCATGCCTACAAAGGGAGTCCGAAGGCATTGAGAGTTAAGTTACTACGCACAATATGCAAAATATATTTGGCTAAAGGAAAGAAGGGAGGAAAAAATCTTACAGTGACCGAGGCCTGGAGGACCTTGGAGCATAGGGCATCGTCAACCTGCCGAGATAGCACCGACTTATCTGTCGAAGGGGTGGCACCCCTTAGGAACTCCCACGAGTGAGGGTTCCGTGCATGATGGCAGTCCCCTTGGTAATAGAGAACTGCACGTTCTCCTGGGGCCATGCCATTTCAGCAACTTGAGCCGAGGGCTCGGAGGAGGAATGTTCCTCGACAATAACAACGAGGGCCTCTTTCTTCTCGGCAGCCCCCTTCTTCTGCTTCATCCCCTCCAGAGGCACCATAGCCTCCCCAACCCGCTTTCTCTTAAGCTCCTCGACGGGGGAGCCCTCGGCAGTAGAGCCGACATCCTCACCAACAGCAGCCTTCACCAAAGGCCCACCGTCATTCCCAGTTCCCGCCTTTGGGAAGATCTCGTCTACAGCCCTATGTTGAGCCGGAGCCTCCTTCTTCTTGCCCTCCTTGGCCAGTTGCCTTTTCAGCTTGGCAAGATTCCGGGCGTCCATATTTGGTCCTGGAAAACAAAGGAAAAATGCAGATGTTAGGATACTACTACAACAAAATGAGCAAAAAATCCTAAGTATAAAAATGAGAGCCCCCGTCAAGGCAACAACCTCTAACACTTTGGTAGACCCTATCGATTGGGGGATATCTCTCATCTATTCCCCCCCATCAACTGATATCGACGGAAGCCCAAATCATAAAGCTCATCCGGGAGGGTGGCGGCCTTGATCAGGACATGCTTCTCGGATCCCTCCGGCTTCTTGGAAAGTTTTCTCCCTTTATTCTCCAGGGCAGCACCCTCTGCCTTTAGATGCCTCCGGAAGCTATCACGGAGTGGGGCTGGGAAGGGATTCTCCGCCAGGAGAACATAGCAACATTTATCCTTCCACCCCTTGTGAGACGAGGGGACATCGTCAAAGAGCTTGAACTCGGGGAGTTGCTGCAGGTTGGCGAAGCCTCCAGCGTTTGAGTGACCCCCCGGTAGAGGTTGAAGGAAAGGAAGAACTGATCTAACGTGGCCTCCACGCCCCTGTTTCGGCAAAGAGGGAGGAAACCGGCCAAGTAAGAGTGGCTATTTGGGGTCAACTGGCAGGGGGCGAGTTTGACGAAGCGAAGGTATTCAATCACGAAGGGGTGGAGGGGAAATCGGAGGCCCAACTCCACCGAGAGCATGTGTACTGCAAAGCAGCCGGCGGGGGCATGCAGTAGCACGTCATCTGGCCCCGGCTCCACCACCTGCGCCGAGGGCCCAGCCAGAAACTGTGTCGCCATGTACTCCCCCTGTGTGGCCTTCGTCTTCACGTCCAGAGCCGCAGTATTGAGGTATGAATAGCCCTCGGGAATGCCCACCGTTTGCCCAACATCGACGGCGACTTGTTTTTTCTTCGGGGCGGCCCTTACCTTCTTCTTCTTGCCCGGGGAGACCCTAAGAGGCTTCGGGTCGAGGGGACGAGAGCTTCCAGCTTCGTCGTTGTTACGGGGGGGGGGGGGGGGGGGGGGCAGAATGGCGACAGTCACCTTCGTACGTTCCTTCTCCTCTTCCTCCTCCGCAACTTGAACGGCGAGGGCTAATTCCTCATCTTCTACCACTTGTTCGAACTCTTCTGCTTCCGCCTCAGTCCGAAGGTTGTCTTGGATCCTCTCGACCACAATGGAGTCATTACGTACCGAGGACCGCTCACTTGAAGACTCAACGTCTGAATAGCTCTCTGCCTGGACAGACGGCTCCCTCGAGATATCTTGAGAGTCACTCGCAGACGACATCCTTGGTAATGTGTTCAAAGGGTCCGAGGAAAGAAATTTTCCAAGGATTGCTAACGCTAGATCTAAGGCCACAAAGCTAAATGTACTGCTGAAGCGAAGAACAAGAGGAAGAACTGACCTCGAAAACTAGGGTTTGATCGAAAGCAAGAGTTTCTCTCTCTAGAAAATTTGGCAGAGCTTCGCCTCAATATGAAATCGCGCAGGGAAGAATGGATCTGGTTAGGGGGTATTTATAGCCTCCCCATTCCGGGCTTGGGCCGAAAACAGGGCCCCCGTTTGCAAAAGTCATCATTACAAACCGCCGCCTCGGCCAACCGGTGACACCCGCCCATGCCATCCAACTAGGAGACGCCACATGGACCCCACCCTCAACGGTCATATCCCAACGGTCATATCCCAACGGCTATTCTTGAAAGCTTGATGTGCCCTCAGGAGATACCCTTTGGACAAACAACGAGCAAGCACTCGCGGCAACACATTCAAGCTCCCTCACCAAAGGTTAGCCCCCAACATGAAGGTCAGAGAACCCCTCAGGAACCCCCAGCCCCTCAACATGGGAGAGGACGGGGATGACTCCCCTCGGTAACACCGGAACTAACACTCACGTTCATCACACCCTCAACATCAAAGAATGAGGGACTCCCCTCGGCATCACCAGGATATCACCAAGACGCCCTCGGCAAATCAAACAAGCAAGCCCTAGGATCACGGGTAGCCTGCGGCCTCAACACTATACTGAGATCAAGGGCTAACCTTTTCGATTCATCATTAGGGGAACTCGGTGCACTCTTTTTCCCTCATTAGGATTTTTTCCCACACGGTTTTTCCTAATGAGGTTTTTAACGAGACATCCCCCCAAAATGAAACGAAAATAGTCAAGCCTCGGCTCCATACTGAAGACAGGTACTGCTCTACTCCTCTTCACCACATTACATGTGCCTCAAGGAGTGGGGGACTGGAGGATCCCTCTGGGAAAAATCACAAAATGTTAAACTTCCCCCAAAACATCAACATAATCCTTCAAGTCCCAAAATGTGGGGGACTGAGAGACTGCCCTCGGCAAAACGTGCAAAACTCCTCGCAAACTTTACAAACTACGGCAAGGCAGCATCAGAGGACAAATGCAATTACTCCTTTTCCCTCAAGTACTTTTCGGTAAAAGGAGTGAGGGACTCCTGATGGAGTATATGGCCCGGGGACCCCCGGCCCACGTACTCCCACTACTGCAATCAGGCCCAACAGGCCCAAAACGGGTCAAGCCCAGCAAGATGAAGCTCTAAGCAGCCCACAATACGCAAGGGGGTGCCTTCGGCCCCATGATCGAAGGCTACCATTGACAGATTCGAGCTCAGAAACATCACATGAGAATAAGGCTTGAAACCCAAGCCTTCGGCACCTGCAACCCTCGGCACATAGAGGCCCCCGGCCCATGGAGCCTTCGGCACAGTAGGTACAGCCGAAGGCGTCTTCCTCGACAGAATCTCCCCTCCACATGCGCTGGATCACCGTGCCAAGTACAAACGTCACATCCAACCACCACATTTAATGCGGCCACATGCGAGTGCCAGTGCCACCCCGGTTGAGGTGACCCCTCGACCACCAAATTATTGACATGTGTCCTTATCTAGCATTTATTGCTACTATAAATAGCAGCCCATTTTTTCCTTTGTAAGGCATCACACGTTCACATATCGAATATACTCTCTCTCTCTTACTTGTTTGCTCTGACTTCTCTCTAGTTATTCTCCGCAATAACCCCTCAGATAAACTAACCCCGGGTACATTATCCATCAATGAACAGTCTTTACTATTCACATGTCAATCAATCTACTTTTAAAGCTCTTTATAAATTTGCATAAATTTGCGATACCGGTCAAAACCAGGAAAAAATGACCGGAACAGGAGTAGTGTTTATCAAATTTATGTAAAAATATTGAAAAAATGGAATTTTCATGTCTCCGAGACTCCGACTAGTGTCCACCTAGACACCCGCCTAATCGCCTAGACGCCCGCCTTGTCGCATAGACGCCGGGCACTGAGCTGGCGCCCAACTAGTGCCTAGTGCCTATTAGAACATTGCTTCTCATCAATATTTCTACCAATTCATTTTCAAAATTGCCTCTCTTTGTCAAGATTAAGATTTTATCTATGGGGACTTTGAAGGTAATACCGTAATACTATCATTACTATTTCTATTTATTAGTGGTATTTGAGTGCTCTTGTTTTCAAAAACTTTATATTTAAAATAAACTTAGTATAATAAAGAGAAAAAGATCAAAATAAATTCTCAAAATATAGCTGACAAATACAACACCCAACCCATTCACCCATTGAAATTAAGCTACCTTTTTAGTTGACGGTGTCCTAAATAGAAAAACCTTGCAAACATATCACTCAACCTATCGATATAAAAACAATCGAATTCATTTTCATGCCGGCAACATCTCATTATCTCAAGAGAAACCTATCGCCTCACTATTGAACATATACTTAATCAAATGGTTCAGTTGATTGGATCATTTACTGATGGTACAAAATATGATTACAATATGAACAATAATGCTTGTTTAAAAGCTAGAGTATTTACAGACACAAACTCCATATATCGTCAAAATAAAACTCAGGTTGATCAAAACATCCAAAATTTGCATCTTTAAAATAACCAAATATTGCATGTACAGTACTGTATCATCATTTAAAAAATGTTACATAAGCATAAAGAGAGGTCACTTGGAAACGGCCACAGTTGTCAGTTAACATTTTACAAATGATGTCGTTCCAGTAGGGAAAACTATGAGAACACAACCATCAGAATCAAATGGATGGAGGCTACATTTCATCAATTCTAAAATAATAATATACATTAAACTGAGAAAAAGGGCACGTGAATCAACCAACCAATTGATCATAAATCAAGCTTTGCGGACTATGATTCTACGTTCACGTTTGTATTCAACCTCCTCTCTTTGATGCATGATCAGCAACGCTCTTCTTACCTGCCATCAAAATATTATCATCATAATTTTTCATCTAATACCCAGAAAGGCTTTCTTCACTAATCACTAGTCAATATATATATATATATATATATACTATCCTTTGTTCTTTAATTCTTGCAACAGTTTGACTTTCACATCTGCCAACGCACAACTTTGACTGTAATTATATTTAATTATGTATTAGTAAACATTATACAAATTTGATAGGGTTAATTATCAAAATAGGACTAAAAGTCACTCACTTTGCACAAATAGGACAAAAAAATAAACTATGTTTTCATAGGACTAATTATGTGTGTCTTGGACAAATATACCCTTATAGCTATTGAAATGTTTTAATTCATAATAAAATAACAAAAAATAATAAAAAATACTAAAAAATTAATAAAATATTTTGATAATATTAATTAATTTATTTAATTATTTTAAAAAAATAAAATAAAAATTAAAAAAAAATTAAAAAAATAAAAAACTCAAAAAAATAAAATAAAATCCACCGCCGCCTCTGCACCACCACCTCCAGTCACCAGGGAAAAAAATGCCAAGTTCATTACGAATGCCATATTTATGGCAGAAAACAATGAAAATTTTGGCATTCTAAAAGAGAAATATGCCATGTTTTTTGCATTTTCAGAAAAAATGGCAGTTTTTAGGAAAAATGGCATTTTTTTCACCGCCTGGAGATGGTGGTGCAGGGAGGTAGTACAGGGGGTGGGAAAGGCATCCATATATTTTTTAATTTTTTTATGGAGTTTTACTATTTTTTATTAATTTTTTAAAAGAATTAAAAAAATTAAAAAAATTATTTTTAAAAAATTTTTTATTTTATAAATATTTTATAATTTTTTAAATTATTTTTCTACGAATTTTTGAATTTTTTTCGAATTTATTATGAATTAAACATTTAATTAACTCATATTTAAAGGAAGGGTAAGAATGGAATGAAAAAATAGGTTTTTCCAATAGGACTAATTTGGTCCTATTTTGAAAAGAAAAACAAGTAAGTCCTATTTTGAGTTTTTTGCCATAGTTTTAGTCCTATTTGGAGTAATTTCTATTGATATTTTGGAAATTCACATTGATAGGAATTTAATAACATTTTATACGTAATAATTTGATTATGTATATTAGTAGAAAATCGTGGTCAAGTAAGGTATGTGAATAGTGCAAAAATCACAATGTTGCAAAAATTAAAGAACGGAGGAAGTATATGAAATTAGCCATCATGAGGAATCTTACAATAGAGTCACTAATGCCCATCCTAGAAAGCTCATCTATCAGTCTCCTTTCGGATATATGGCTTCCTATGCCCATCCTTCTCTTTATCTGGCTCTCTGCTAGCTGGTTGATCATTAAAACAAAAATTTGGTAAGTAGATTTTACTTATCACGAGCCTTGTCTGTCATACACTAAAATGTTAACAAGTTATCTGACTGTAATGACTACAGAAGTAATGAAGAAGTTATAATACTAAAATCAGACACTGATGGGCAGTGTGAATGGCATAATTTTTATACCTTTATCTCATTTGCCATCTCAGGGGTCATATTTATGTGTTGGTTGATTCCAGATTTTGCAGCATCCATTGTAGAATTGTTGAACAGCCTAATAGCTTCTGTGACATGGTTCTCGTTCGCTACATGAGAACTAAAACCACCACCATCCCCATAATAACAATTATGGAGAAAAAATAGTTTCATTGCAATGTTTTTACGATCAAATAAACAATAATGGAACTGTACAACAAAAGTATACCATCATCTAAGATTAATTTACATTCCTGCTTGAGATAAAACGAGGCTTTATTTGGTTTTCCTGAATTAAATCATAGTTTGGCAAAACATAACGAAATGTGATTTAATCATATTCACACAAAAATGTATTAGATACAAACTACCCAATAATAGCTAAATCCATCATGTATCTTAACAAGCCTACAAGTCTACAACAATATTGTGCCTTAGGATGCAATTGAATAGTTAAATCCATCCATGTATATATCCATGTATCTTAACAGACCTACACGTCTACACTCTACAACAATGTTGTGCCTCGGGATGCAATTGTCTTTCACTTAGGTTGTTCTAAACTTTTAATGTAGTGATTCTGAAGCAATCATGAAAGAAACAGTATAATATCTCATGTCATTTGAGGATATTTAGTCCATCTACTTACAGCCTCATTTTGGCAAGAGCTTCACTCAGCCTTACGATAGCTTCAAGTTGCCTCACAGTAATTGGTATCGCCGCAGCCTCCCCACTTTCATTTGCTTGTCGCCTCATATCCTAAGATGAAAAACTCATAAAATTTTGGAGAGCACTAGTACCTCCCCTCCATTTTTCCAACAGAGTTCAGGAATAGAAATCTGCCTAGTGGCAACCTAACGTACTTGTATCTACAATGAACAAGGAAAATGGAAAAGAATATGCACCTGTCTAATTCTAACATAACTTTCCTGCAGCATTGAGGCTGCTGACTCTGATAGTCTAGGGTGACATATTGTTCGGCAGTAGTGTATGTACCTGCATGCATAAACTCAGTTGTTTTAGCATTAATTGTTTAACACCAAGTGTCCTTGCTAGAAAAAACAAATTAATTAAAAAGCTTCAATACGGTCTGCATCTAGACCTTTTCAACCAGTTATCCTCTTTAGAATTTCTTGGGTCACCCATGCTTGCACCAGCAGATGAATGCACATTAATGATATGCTTGGCAATTGTCTGTACAGTGAGAACATTTGAGTGAGATCCTATAGAACTTTTTTGGACTACGTTATGTCCTTTCCAAAATGGTGGTCCGGTTCAGTCCAGGATAAAATAATTCAATTGTCAACATCATACTAAAGATAGTGTTTCATCTAGCAATAGACTAAAGAACAAAAGTTGTAAGCCTACCTTGTCTTGACTGTACATTCTGATGTCTTTTACGATGAAAATCATATCAAACCTTGAAAGAATTGTCGTCTGCAAGTCTATATTGTCTTGTGCGGTCTGTAATTACAAACAACTTATCAGATTCTTGTTTACGATACTGACAAGATAGAAAATGATAAGGTGAGGTCATTACACCTTAAGATCATCATAGCGTCCTGATGGAGGATTAGCTGCAGCAAGCACTGATGTTCTTGAATTGAGGACCGTAGTTATTCCTGCTTTGGCAATAGAGATAGTTTGCTGCTCCATAGCTTCATGGATAGCAACCCTAGACAGCATAGAGAGCTCTTACAGAATCTGGTGAAGGTATGATAAAATAAAGGCCAAATTAACCTGATTGCAAAGTAACTTACCTGTCTTCAGCCCTCATTTTGTCAAACTCATCAATACAGACAACACCCCCATCGGCCAAGACCATGGCTCCTCCTTCTAGGTAAAACTCACGCTGAATTGACAACAATTATAATATACTTAATTTTGAAGTGTCTGTAGAAAAATATAGTGAGAATGTCCTAGATTCTTAAACAGAAAAAATACAAGCAGACTTACAGAGCTGTTGTCTCTAGTCACAGAAGCTGTAAGACCAGCAGCTGATGAACCCTTTCCAGATGTATATACTGCCACTGGAGCAGTTTTCTCAACAAATTTGAGAAACTTCATTACAAATATGTAGAATCAGGGCATCATTCATGCAAGCGGAGAAATAATCTCAGTGGACAAAATATTGATAAATATTCTTCTCTAACATCAATTTATATTTAGAGATCAGAAAAAGAGAAGAGAAGCTCTTCCTTTAGAGCTGAAAACATTTCTGACCTGTGACTTGGCAGTAGACGGATCTCCTAACAGTAACACGTTTATGTCTCCTCTTAACTTAACACCATCTGGCAAGAACTACAAAAACAGGAAAAACTATTAAAGACAAATAGAGAAACCAAGAAACAACAGATAGGTTGTATTGCATACCTTTCTTGAGCCTCCAAACAAAAGACAGGCTAAAGCCTTCTTGACATCATCATGCCCAAATATTTGAGGCGCAAGCTTGGAGCATATATTTTCATAGCAATTACTGTCTGATGCAAACTTTTTGAACTCTTCTATCTGCATGATTAAATGTCATTCTTTAATGGAGAAGGACTCAAGGAAGACAAGTTCTAGGACAAATGAAAACTTCTGCTGAGCCAAGTTTTATTCCTCAATCAAAGTTCTGTACAGCATGCTGTACCATTAAGCACCAATCTGAGTTCAACATCGTGTCAATTTTTGGACTAAAACAGACCTAAATCTTAGTTACTTCTAAGTTCTAACAGTTACCTCATCTGTAGTAAAGTTTGCCGGACCCCGAGAATTAGCCTCACTGGTGTCCTCCATTCCAACTACCCTTATATATGGTTGTCTAATAGCAACAGCTCCTTTATGACTGCATCCACATTCAGATATGGAACCTTAGAAGTTAAAATGGAGAGGATGCTTTGATAAAGAAGGAAATAAATACAGCAACAAGTCAACCACAACAACAATAATAGTTATTTTTATTATTATTACTATTGTTATTAATATAACAACAATAGTATTAACAATACAAACATTGACTAGAATTTTATTATATAACTCATGTTATAAAATACCGTACGATGTGGATGTGTTAGAAGCCTGAAAGATACTATATATTCCCATTATAGAGAGCCTCGTGCCCGGCACAATAGTTTGCACAAGATGACGATCTACAGAGAGAAGCATGTTCCTTGGCAACTCACCAGTGGGGACATCCTACCGTTACAACCACAAATTATATTACACCATACATAGATAATAAAATTTAAATAATACAGTCACCAGTACATGCGAAGTTTCTTGTCAATAAATGAGAACTCACCTCTGGGTTCTCCTGTAGTTTAAGTGTCTGCTGATCAACATACTTGCTTTTGTCTGGAACCACTATCCATGGATCAATTGGACATGGCTCTTCACCAGGCTGCATAAAGACACAGTACCGGTGCACTTCAGCACTTATATTTGAATTACTATAGTTACAGCCAAGATGGTATGAACTGAAATTGTAAAAATACCTGAGGCACGTGATCACATGAACGTGGAACAATGGCCCCTCCGAGCCCAGGCCGACATGGCACAACCTTCACATTTTTGCAGTTCTTACATAACAGATTGACATAAGTTGCCTTTGCCTTGGTCTTTGATGCAGCAATGACAATTCCTGATATCTTAACTAATTTTGAAATGAATTGTGCCTACAAATAAATGATAGAGGGATTAATAGAGAGACAAATCTCAAGACAGTTAAATGGTAAAAGATGATAAACACAAACCCCGAGGGCCCGAATTGAGATCGAATCCTGCTCAGATCTCAACAATATTTGCACTTCCCCGGTTTCTGGTTCTTCCATTTCTCCTGTTTCTCCAGCTACCCTAGATCTCAAACTTGCTAGAACTTCAGCTGCTGCAGTTTCGAACTACAAAGCACAATCCCATGTATCCCGCCCCAAATAAATATAAAGGTAAAGAAATGACATTTAGTTTGGGTCTCAAACTTTCTGAATTAAACAAATCATGTAGATTTATACATATCTTCTGTTGAGAACAAGTTGACTTCTACAGTTTTGACTCAAAAAATATGAATTCTATTTGTAGAGCTCACATTAAATGCTCAAACAATAGCACAAAATGGGCACCTCTACTAGTGATCGTCATCATTGTCACTTCCACTGTTGCAAATAAAAAGCAAAACAAGCACAACTAAGCAAAGGGGTGTGTGTGTGTCCGAGTTGGTCCTGCTCAACGATTGAATAAACACATTTCCAAAACTCATTTCGTGAATATATGGGGCCTCGTGTGAGTATATACTCATGGAAACATGTCAAGGAGAAGTCTTACAGCTGCATAGAGTCATAAATTGTTTTTGGTAGAAACAAATAAATCATATAGCATTTCTACAATTTTTTTTTCTATGAGACAACAAATCTGAGAACAAGGGTTTAAAGATCTCACATTTGTAGGGAACACTCAAAGATATGTCAAACACCCCAAGCCCTTACAATTAATTAATTCACTACTAAATTCAAGCAAATTTGAAATTTTGTAGGGGAACACTCATATTTCAAGCAATCATTAGCCTAGTACAGCTATCCTGCTCTCCAATTCAAACATGTACTCGTTATTACAAAAAAAAAAAAGAATGACATAAATACAAGAAAACTTCTTCAATCGCATTGTTTCAATTTTGCACAGACAGCACAGTTCTAACTAAGTATTTAAAGGAAAGTGTTAACAGCCAAGAGTGCTTATGAGCCACCATTTCTACCATTGTAGCGAATTGCATTAAAAAATAACATTTGCAACAAGAATTCGTACCAGGGGAAGATAATCGGCAGGATTCTGGCGAAGAAGTTCTGGGAGGGTTTGGTCGCGCTCATAAGAGAGCAGGTCGGAGAGGTTGACGATGAGAGACTTGGGGTTTTCGAGAAGAGCTTCGCGATAAGGGAATAGGTTTGGCTGGCTCTTGTGAGGGAAGTTCCTGATGAACTCCTTGAACTTCTGCAGGATAACATGACGGCTTTTGGTAGCCTGATTGGAGTCGCCGGAACCACCGCCGTGTGGGAACTGCGCTTGGTCGCTATAGTATACGGCTCCCTCATCCCAGCCTGACATCTTCTTCACTCTAACTCTTCCTCGTTTCGTCTCTCCGGAGATCTGTTTGAGTCGCCGCTATTGCAAGCTCGACAGACAGTTGCTGCTCTCTAGGGTCTTTCTTGTGTGTAAACAGCGACTGAGTTGGCGGGAAACATTTGGCGGGAATTATGTGGGTGAGTTGAAGTGACGTCGTTCGTGTCAAGCTTGACCAGTTGACCTTTGTAAATACTCTCCGTTCTTTTTTAGTTGGAACGGTCAATATTTCACGTTTTACAACGCACATTTTTTATCATAATTATATCTTAATTCTATTAGTAAAAAATATTAAAAATCAGTTTTTGAAAATTTTTAATGAGATGAATTGAACAATGTTTTTTTATTTCATAAAATAATAACGTAAAATGTAGTCAAATTATAACATGTGAATAATGTAAAATTCAACATGTTGCGATTAAAACGGAACGGAGGATAGTACGTAACATCCAAACTTGTTTCTAACTAAAAGTAATACAAGTAGCAAAGTAAACTATCCATTTATCCAATCATCTTCTCAAAACTACCCCAATAAATTTTCTGTTGTTGTTGCTCTCACAAACTAAATAGATAGTATCATGGATTTGAGTTTGTTCTCAAGTAAGTATGTTGATATTATCTTAAACTAATAGTATTATAGTAAGCTTGAAATGTCAATCTCATTTTATTCTATGACTCTTCAATTAAATTGCTTGTGTATGTAAATGCAAGTTTTTCATTCCTAAACCGAAATAGTAACAAGATATGTTCCATAAAATCGAGTGTCTTCAACTGATAGACTGCTAATATCTAAGCATTCGTATAAGCAAAGAGGAGATGAGTCCAATACTAGATTTAAACCTCAAGGAATTAAGTTGAGAGTATGTTTGTATCGGCTCAATCTGAAAATAATTTTATTCATATCAAGTTCGAATAAGTTTATATTGGCTCAATCTAATCATAACAGAAACTATGTCGAGTCTCACATAGTTTGTTAAATGTAACGAACCTCAATAATTTTCAATATTCATAATGAGCTTAATGATCACCTTTATGCTTCTTTAATACTTCATCCGTTCTTAAATAAGAGCAACAATCAACTTTTCACATTTGCATATAAAGTCGTCTAATAGGCTTCTGAAACTCGTGAATATCAACAATGATAACCTTGTCATTCTTCACCTCCCATTTGTGCAATTCTTTTGATTGATGATGTCTTAGATCATGTCCTTGGAATCATGGGATCCTATATTCTTTGTCCACCTTTATTTACAACAGACATCAAAAGATCACAAGATAAGGTACTAATAATAATTTGTGTGCATATCTTTTTTGTTGAGTCCATATCTCTAGAGTTTTATGATCTCCATTTGGTGGAATGATAAGCATAGGTTCGTCAATGCATGTTAGGGAAGAGTATACTCATTCTTGCAAACGTTTGAAGTTGGCACTAGAGAAGACCTCAACCTTGGAGATGTCCATAAACAACTTATGAACTTATCATATGTTGGTTGCAGGTTGCTTTAGAGTTGTAGGGTAAGGCGTTCTCTCTCAGAGCGTTTGGTGCCTTTGTTTTGCTCATTTTATAATGACATACAAATGTTATTCCTTTTAAAATTGTAAATTATACTCATTATATTTGTGTATAACATAAAATTCATTTCAATAATTCACACATGTTATATATTTGTTACAAACTAACTTAATATATGTAGATTCATTTACTAAATTGTACGTAGTAAGTAGTTTAAGAGTTAGGAATAACATTATTATAACAAAACATATTTTTTAGGTAGTTTTTCTAGACATTCGCTACAACATCACTTGACACCTCTTTATAATAAGTTTTATTAAAAAACATACAACAAATATCACTACTAAGAAAATATATAAGTTAACATTAGATGATAATACAATAGACTGTACCAAAGTTGAACCGAACACCACTTAGAAATAGAGCAACAATCCTTTCAAAATCATTGTGTTTCATCTTTTCCAGAAAAACTCTAGTTTTACACTTGTATGGAGCATGAAAAATGAAATACCTGGACATGGAAGAATACTAAATTGTCAAATATGGGGCCAGAATAGGGATGGACCGGGACCGAGTCGGGCTCCGGAACAGGACTAGGCAATAAATTAAATATATAGTGCAATTGGGTCCGGGACCGAACCAACTGGGTCAGGCCCAAAGAACGAGCCTGAAGCCCGTCCTTATAGCCACCGGGCCGGGCCTAAACAGTACCGGGCCAGGCCGAGCCGACCCATCCCAGTCCATCCCTAGGCCAGAATGCTTCTAGAGTAGAAATTGCATAGAGAATTAGAACTAGGTTGTGTTTTGCGATTAAAAATCCTTGAGGTTATGAATGTGTAATTTATTAGAAGAAAGTTTTAAGTGTGAAATCAGGTATAACTATCATTGGAACATTAAATCACATATTTGAATAGTCAAAATATATGTTTTAATTCTGATACCCTGTAATCTGTATAAGTCATTTAAGCAATTTATCAATCACGTCATATGCAAAATACAAACTATGTAACACTCATAAATTGAAGGAAAAATAGGTAATAATGATCCAAACTATACCCGATCCGCTTTTAATAATCCCTGATATGGATTATTTCCTTGTAGTCCAAACTTTGGTCCCCATTTTCTTAAAACACTCCCTTACCGGTTAAGATGAGTTATAACCGGCTAAATAAACACGTGCAACACACGTGTATTACTAAGTATAGATTAAATATCCCCTCTTATCTTCTTCTTCGTCCACCCAAATGAAAGGAGTCCAGAGGCAACGGAACACAGCGGCGAACTCTTGTTCCTCTTATATTTTCAATCGCGGTGCAAGAAATCAACCAACGGGATATGACGGTGAAATGAGTTGGATTGCTGGGTCAAGGGTTAGAAGGACCGAAAGCATTGGTTTTTCAAATCAGTGCTACCACCGAGTATTTTGTGAACCTAGTATGGTGAAAAACGGGCGAAATACTGGGAGACAATTCTATGGGTGTGCATTGTGGCCTGTAAGTTATTTAGTACTCCTAATAATCTTTTTGTTGCTAATCATAACATCCGATTACTAGTCACAATCAGTAAGAAATCAATTACACTCAAAGTAAGTTATTTTGTGAACTAATTGATGAGTTATTGTTGATTCCCAGAAAGAAGATTGTCATTATTTTCAATGGGTTGATGAAGGAAATCTTCCTTGCAAAGAAGCCAATAGAAATGATAAAGAAATGTTCTTGGAGCAACTTCTTAGCAACACAAATGATGGACAAAAAGCATTAGAGGAGAAGATTGTTAGGTTGAAATTGAAGAATAAGATGATGGAAGCTAAAAATCAGGAAATGCAGTTAGTCCTTATCAAAAATTCGAAGACACAAAAGATGACATTCATTGCTATTGTTGCCTCTTGGATCTGGTTGTCCATTGTGTTGTACTATAAGTAATTTGGGAGTGTGGATGTTTAGAGAGTTCTAGATATGTGTATTAGATGTAATGTGTAGTGTATGTTTTGATGTTTTGAGTGTATTGTTCTAGTTCTGTTGGTTTTGGGAGGCCTGTTGGTTTTGTTCCGTTGTAATGTGTATGATAATGGAAATGTGTTAATGTTTTGACATGAACTACTTGTTTTAACATCAAGTGTGGTTCACCTTCACAGTGATAATGAAAACATCAAGTGTTTTGACATGAAGTGTGGTAATGTGTATGATAATGAAAATGTTTTGAACTGTTTAGATAAGTTCACAGTAATGAACTTTATAGGAAACTAAAGAAGTTTCACCCATTGTGGTTCCACACACTGGTTTCTACCACCCTAAAATTAAGAAACAAGCTTGGAAGTAAATATGAGAACCACATATCTGCGAACAAACCACATATCATTGAACACACCACGGACTTAGAAGTCTGTTTTGATAAATTCACAAAATTGAACATTACAAAGGTTCCAAATACTACCAAGTCTTGAAGCAAATTGAGTAAAAAAAGGACTACCAAACACACCAAATGAAGTCATTACAAAGCTTAGAAATACAACAAAGTCTAGAATCACAAACATCATTGTTGTATGCACTACAACTTGTTACAGAATAACAATACTAAACATCCACTTAGACTGCAACTTTGGACTGCAACTTTGGTCAACAACCTAAGGAAATGAAGGACCAACTGAAGGCTCTAATAGATTACTTGGACCAGCTTGGCCGGGAGGCTGTAAACACAGAAAAAAATAATAACATTATCACAAAATGAACTCAAAAAAGTAACGCAATAATGACTCCAAAGCTGAAAAATAGCTGAAAAATACTTACATTAGTCCAAGTGTTGCCCTCTCCGTCAACAATGACTCCAAAGCCTACAGGAATTTGACCCTTACCTCTGCCTCTTCCAAATCTCGCTCTACCTCTTGTTTCCCCAGGTCTTCTGACTCTAACACTTGTGTCACTTCCTCCTCTTGGTTGAATAAGTCTTCCTCCTCTCCCTATTCTTGAAGGTTGTGCAGTGGTTTTGATGAGTGCTTTGTTGTTCTTCAGTATTTTGGATAGATTTCTTTGGCCTGCCCCTGCCTTTCTTTTGTACAGGTTGAACTTCCTTATTTTTATCCGGGCATTTTCTCTTGTTATGATCTTTTGAATTGTACACACTACAGGACATCTCAACACCATGTTTTGTTAATTTTCCGGGCTTCTTTGGGTTTTCATGGGGAGACTTCATTCTATTTTTCCTAGGTTTACCTGGCCCAATCTTAATAGGTGGGGGGTCTATTGGCATATCAACCTTGGACCAATGTCTCTCTCTAGTTAGGGGTGCAATACCCCCTGAGTACATCTTCAAATAAGTGTCCTTGGTGTAGCAGGTATGCACATAATTCTCAGGAGTCTCATTAATGAAGAAAATGCAAGAAATGGCATGACAACATAGTATTCCACTCAAGTCCCACTTCCTACAAGTGCAGGTTCTAGCTTCTAAATTTACTGTCTAACAATCTAATCTGAGGCACACTTGGAATAAAACCTGGCTAGATGGTAAAGGGGTACAATTGACAGCTTCATCCTTTCCTTTCTCAAGCCTAGCCTTAATTCTAGGACACAACATACCACTGTTTTTTTCCATCTGCTGTCTTTTAAGAACCATCCTTTGCATTAAAGCACCCCTAATATCATCAAGCATGAAAATTATATGTTTTGCTCTAGCATTTATTATATAACCATTAAATGTTTCTGCCATATTACTAACAATGACATCACATTTAGTGTTTGTTCTAACAAATGCTCTACAAAAACATGAAGGGTCCAATGATCTAAATGAACTCACTGCAACCGGGTTTACCCTTTTCATTTCTTCCAGAGCTTCTTCCAAACCTGCTTCATTGTATGCCTTTGCAGCTTTCCAAAAAAGCATTTTCATCTCATCACCCTTGTGATTTTTATGCCAATGTGCAAATACATGTCTGGCACAGTGCCTATGCTCAGCCAAAAGGGAATTCCTTTGCCACTCCCCTCAATATAGATTGCCACAAAAACATAAATGGTTAGAAAAATAAATAACAGCTAAGAACCAAGTAGATGGATATAAAATAGCTTCATCAAATGACCTAGTGTTCATCTAAAATGAATGCGAGGTCAGCACCAGCTAGAGTGTCTATATTCACCTAAGAACCATTCCCAGTTTGAGTTGTTTTCCCTTTCCACTACTGCCCAGGCTACTGGAAACATTTGGTCATTTGAATCTCTTCCTTTGGCAGACAAAAGCATCCCACCTAATAATGTTTTGATGAAACAACCATCTATACACAGAACATATCTACCTCCACTCAACAATCCATATTTCAGCCCTTTGAAACACACAAAAAACCTCTGAAATGTAGGAGGGAAGCTTTTTATAGTAGGGTCAATGAACATCTTGAAATGGCTGTGGGGGTTAACATTACTAAGAGCTTCCAAATACCTACCAAGCTTATTGTAGTGTTCTTTCATACTGCCATGAAGTTTTCTGTGAGCATGATACTTCACCTTGTATACAAAATCCCTCTTCACAAGAACTTTGTAAGCTCTCATAATGGTTCCCATGATTTCCTTAGCAGGCCTATGAGGTCTCGACTTGAAAACTTCCAAGAATTGTGTTGCTACCCAGGGTGCCTTGAGCTGTCTGTTTTTTTTCATATTTGTGTTGCAAGTGTGCTCTCCAATCACACTTTTACAACAAAGCATGCCCTCATACTATACCAACTAGCATACAACCTAAATGGACAGCCTTCCACACATCTTGCACCTATTCGTTGTTGCCTTTCCTTATGGCTTACACGTATCTTCAAATTTCTTCCTTGGGCAATGGCAAATCTAGCTACAACATCTTTAAACTTGTCCCTGTTTTCAAATTTCATTCCAACCTTCCAAGTCAGCAACTTAAAGTCTTTATTTTCATCCACCAAAGCCACTCTACCTCTCTTTGTTCTTGAAACAATGTCATCTCCATCACTCTCAGGAGGTGTGTGAATGTCATCTTCAGATTCCTCATGGTCACTAACACATTGACTCTTAAGAATGTCATCTTCCTTCTGAAATGTGTCTGAAGGGGTATTTCCTTCACCTAGCTTTCCCTCTCCTGCTTCTTTTTTAAGCTCTTTGGCTATTTTCAAAATCCTTGAATTCCAACCATTCACTCTTCTTCTTGACTCTCTAAATTCCTCATCACTGGTGTCCTCATCAGATCCAAAAAGTGAGGCCTCTAACTCCTCACCATCTTCTTCTCCCAGATCCTCTGAAAAGGCTGAACCTTCATCATGTTCTTCCTCATCATGCTCTTCTTCATCCTGTGCTGCATCTTTACTATTTGAAGTTTGTGCTTGTGAACTTGAGGTATGTGGTGCCTTCCCTATAATTGGTTGAGTTCCACTTACACCAGCTGAACTTCTTGAACTCTCTTTTACCCCATCAGTAAGTCCTATTTCACTAGCACCCCCTTCATTTTCCCCACCACCTTCCAGTAGTAGCACCAATTCTGGTGAGCTTAGTCCATGTCTTATATAGCAGTCAATGATCTTATATTTCACAGCTACTTTGTACATTTCCCTGACCTCATCATCAAGCTTAACTCTTCTCAAATCCTTCTCCAAACTTTGACCAGGAATCAAGTAATAAATGTCATCAATTTTACTGTATTTTCCACATTTACCAACTAACTCTTCTAACCAAAACCAGCACAACTTTTCAACATCAATTTCAAAACATTTATATTCACCATCTACATACTCCAACTTTTCCGGTTGTTATTCTTAAAGATACCTCCATGCCACATCTTAATTGTAATCACAGTTGAACTATCCATCTCAATTACTACCTAAAAACATGATATGCAGTTCACGAATCAACATAAAACTTCAACACACTGATATAATCCTAAATTATGGAATGACATTTCATGAATCAACATAAAAGTTCAGGTCTTTACCTTGGACTGTGAGAACCGTGCACAAGACAGTCTGGGTGCCTGAAGTTATTCTGATTTCTTCACCTGCTTACCGACGACTAAGACGACGGTGGAAGACATTCAAGGCGCAAGCAGTTCTTCCAAGTTCATGTTCTACGGTTGTGATGGTAGGTGAGAAATTAGGCATTTGGGATGTTTAAAATTTTAATTTACCGGTAGTACCGGTCTTCAGTGTAAGGGAGTGTTTTAAGAAAATGAGGACCAAAGTTTGGACAACAGGGAAATAATCCATATTAGGGATTATTAAAAGCGGACCGGGTATAGTTGGGATTATTATTACCTATTTTTCCTAAATTGAATATGTTATGCACTCAATTATTCATCTATAAATTTTTATGATGCCTTTAACATTGTTCAAATCTCGATCCAAGATCTTGCAAGTTGCAACTCATAAAAATGTAGCTTCAAGCCTTTAACCTCTAATGCACTCACATTCTACTTGACCTACGCGTAAATGGCTCAGTACAAACAGAGAAAAGCAGCGATAGGGAGAGGACCCGGGTTGGTCCAGTCCCGGACACTCTCGGTTCCAAGCCGAGACCACCCGGTCCTTACATTTTTTATAAAGCATGGGAGTATGGGACTGACTCAATGACCTAGGCATGGACTCGGGCCGGGCCTCAGGCAGGCTACCTATTTTTTTTTTTATTTTCTAATTACTTTCTACCCTCACCCCTCCCCAAACCCCTCCAAAACGCCCACCCCAACCCATTTACCTCCCAAAGAATTTGAAAAAAATGGCCCCGAACCCAGCCCGGCCGGTTCATTTTTTTGAGATCCGGAGCCCGCCCCGAAACAATACCGAGCAGGGTGGCTTGAACCGGGTACCGAGCCGGGCCAGTTACGGGCCGGTTGACCCAGCCCGAGTCCATCCGTAGACTGACTTGCTATGTTCCGAGTCTTGGTCTCGATCCCAGATCCGGACAAGTTAATTTTTTTACCCAGTTTCAAGCTAAAAAAGAGAATAAAAATGGTCAATCCAGGACCAAAATTGGGACCTGAACCACCCGCTTTGCCCCCCTTCCCTAATATTGGAACCCGGGACCTAATACTGCTTTTACCTAGTCAGTACCCAGTCTTGATCCAGGACCAAAAAAAGACCCGATCTGGTCCCGCACAATAACAGGCCCAATTCCAGACTGATCCGAAATCACCTACCAGGTCCACCCCTGGGCGATGAGGTAACAAGTTCAAAGCGGGGGCGGGAAGTAACCGTTGCATTTTAGCAAGTTATGAGGTAATTAAGGTTCTATGATAACACGATATAATAAATTGTTTCAAATGTATATACGAAATTACAAAGTATACAATTGTGTATAAAGAGATTTAAAACTAGTACACACACAAAAAGGCACTAATGCGTATGTAAACAAATTTTTATTTTCTAATATTGTTTACACATTAAAATAAGCAGACTTCATTGACATTGAATTTAAAAATGTATTTTTTAATTATATATAAGAATATATTAATAAAAAGATCATTTCTCATTTAAGTAAATAGTCTTCGTTTACAGGTGGTTATACTTATACCGTTACGTGTTGGGACAGTTCCTATTGAGATTAAATTACCCATTGGATAATGGGTGAACAAATGCATCTGCTTTGTTGCCACTACATGATCACCATTGGAAACTTTGATGAACAATTCCGGGATAGACAGCAACAGGCAACAGCATGTACAAGGACATACCATCTCTGCACTGGGTTCACCTACTTTGGAGCTAAAAATATACAAAGAAAAAGCATACTCAGACTGGTTAAGCTACCTTCGATGTTTCTTCTGGACTACACAATTCTAGTCACAACAGTTCAAAGAAGGATTATACAAAAAGAGCAATTACAGTGAGCTTCATATCATGAACACAGATATGTACAGCAAGCCAAGCCAGCTCATAAATTTTAATCCAGTGTATATCCTTCTTTCTTCAGGTACCAAAGTGCCCCTTCGGCAGCATGCTCAGCAGCATCCTTCTTTTTCAATCGAGCTTCTCCAAACGCCACTATGACCCTCGACTTTTCATCAACTTCTATCGTCACTTTAAACTTAAACCTGTACCCGTACATGAAATTAAAAAATCCTCAGTTTTTGTCATTTGTTAAAGTATATGAAACCTTAGATCGTAAATCCTAGTGTGAGACCCATCATACAATGATGTGTATCCATCTCTCAGTTATATGTAAGATCTGCAATGTTCATTCCATTGTGTTACATTTTCTTAATATATACTCGTGTATTTAATATATAGTCACAACAGTTTCTTAATATATTTAAATATTTAATACGTATCTCCGTCCCGTTAGACATCACCAACTTTGTATTAAGTGTGAAATAAGAAAAGTAAAATTGTGTGATTGAGGTTCGTGCAGAGGAAAGGGAAATAAGTTGCACCACAAATTCATTACTTCGGAAGTGGCAGTTTTTGGGACAATCAAAAATAGAAAAGTGGCAAAGTCTAATGCTTTTTCATCACGCAATGTACATATTCAGCACTGTAGTCAAAGTGATTTACTTACTCTTTTAAATGACTAGGACCTGCTTCGTCACAACATTCAAAAACAGGAGGTTTCCAACAGTTCACTGTGCAGATTTCGTACAAGCGTGACTTGGCAGTTGCAGTCCGCGAACTTCCTGAAATGGCCTCAAGTGAGAGAATGTGGTGACACACACGCACAAGAATCAATTTTAGAACTAATTATTACCTCTGACAAGAGAATCTGCACTGCAGCCATTAGCCTCCTGTGAACTCTCTTCAGCTTTAGCAGACAACAGGGTTTTTCGAGTAGGTTTGGCCTTCCCATGCAGTTTTTCAGAGAGTATCTCAGAAAGAGGTCTTATGTTGAAGCTACCATCACTTACAGAATGTTGCTGCAAATTTGACTCGTTGAACTTTGCAGTGATAAAGCAAGGTACTTCATTATATCCGACCAATTCGGGTTCCATCTTGACCGCACTTTTCAAAACTTCTTCAAGACGTTTAGTCTTGAGTGTGTAGCCTTTAGCCTGCCGTTCATGGTTGTAAGCTAAAAATAAGAATGTGACCCCCCATTCAAGAATATAGAAGACATAGAAATTAAGAGCCAGTTTGTGACTACTGGTATAAAGTTTTGAACATTAATTTTAAAATGATGAGTTGTGATGTGGTAAAAACTTTATTTGGTAATTTAGGATATGCAGCTATGTGAATATTGGCATGTTTGATACTGAGGTGTTGTGAGACAGTTTCATTAATTCATCTGTCATAAATTATCACGTCTTTCCTTTTTAGGAAGAATCCTGTGTTTGTTATTGTCTCTCTTTTCTAAACAAATATCAGTGACACAGTTACCAAATGAAAACTTTATTTGGTAATTTAGGATATGCAGCTATGTGAATATTGGCATGTTTGATACTGAGGTGTTGTGAGACAGTTTCATTATTTCATCTGTCATAAAGTATCACGTCTTTCCTTTTTAGGAAGAATCCTGTGTTTGTTATTGTCTCTCTTTTCTAAACAAATATCAGTGACACAGTTACCACTTTCTAAGAAAATTTTGATAAGTTAAATAAGGAGAGTGAACTCATTTTGACAAAAGGCTAGGTGTTGTGATTTGAAAGCATCTCAACACTCATGTTTTGAATTATTTATACTCCCTCCATATTTTAAAGATTGCTACATATGGCTTTGGCACATTATTTAAGGAGAAACATAGCAAAGGTTATGAATAGCGTAGAAAAAGTATGAGAGAAGGTGAAAGTATGAAAGAAGATAAAAAGTAGAAAACGTAAGGGTAAGTGAGTAAGTGGGCCTTTTTTAAGGGAAAACTTACAAAAAGGAAAAAGTGTCGTAAACTTTTAAATACAACCAAGAAGGAAAGTGTAGCAAACTTTAAAATACGGGGGGGGGGGGGGGGGGGGGGGTAAATCTTTATTATTTTCTCATGGAATATATATCATGTTGAAGTATTTGTCTCACACCGCTAAAACATGAAATCTTAAACCACTACATGAGCTCTTAATATATTATATTCCCTCAATGAAGTATTTGGGTATTCATATTTCACATGAATACCCAAAACTTCCACTTAGAGCAAAAAGAAAACAGAATCGAGTGTAATGATAGAAGCAGGTGAAGACACTATTCTGACCCTCAAGAGTGCAAGGGTTTGTTCTGATGCCATTTGTTTGGCAGTTTTCGAATTTCTGTTAATAGCAGATGCAGTAGCAGAAACTTCTTTCCCTTCCACTTCTGCTTTCACTATACATTTTCCAACACTCCTTCTTTTCTGGAATTTCAGATCCCATCCATAAAACTGGCAAAGCTCAATAAGTTCCCTCAAAGGATTAAGCTGCAGCCTTGAGAAACAACTTGTGGGGTCTACCAAAGAGAGTACTATGTCCCAGACAATTTTCAAATCAAACCCAGTATCAAGAAGAATGGCGCCCATACAAGACTCCACAATGTCACCAAGAACCTATTAAAATGATAACATATATTTAATTTAATGAACCATGACTTTTAAACATGTTGCAAAGAAGCACATACAGAAGTAATGCACTCGGTTACCTTAGGAAGATATGGCTTTTCAATCACACCTTTCTCAGAATCTGATTTTCCCGTGAAGTCGGCATATGCAGTGATTGCCTCCTGAAGACTCAGTGAATCACAAATAATATGTTTGTGGAGGGACTGACGTACAGTGATGTCAGCAAAGGTTTTATTATTGACTGAAGCTGATCTCAAATCAGTGAACTGGCCAGGCCTCAGTTTTGGATATACCGAATAGAGATAAGATGTAATTAAATAATCTAGAACTGCATCTCCAAGGAACTCCAATCTCTGTTTCAGCAATTAAAGCATCAATGTGAAATACACTTTGCAACATTTTCAAACGAAAATTTTCACTTTTAGATACCACGACTATTAGATTCCAGCCCTGCCTGTACAATTTAGGGTTGATTTTTGCTCGCTAAGTAACTGAAAACAACCAAAAGTAGCAAAAAATCCATAGTCGTGAAGAGAAAGTGGACATAAAATATGAGAATGGCCAATAGTGGGACCATATATGTAAAGTGTTCTTTTCAGAATCAGATGAGGCAAAGAAAACTAACCTGGTAGCAACCGCCACCATGATAGTTATAAGAGGGATGGATGAACGCCTGGATAAGTAAGCCCTTGTGAACAAAGTGATAGCCCAATGTTTTTTCAAGAGATGGAATATCTATTTTATCGGCAAGGGTCATAAACTTTGTGCTTTCAGAGCAAGCATCACCAACTTCTGAGGCACTGAAATCAGCTTGGATGCCTAACCATTTCAGAAATGCAGTAGCTGCTTTGAAACCACCGTCAACTATAAATGCCCCAATTAGGGCTTCAACCACATCTGCAATTGTTTTCTTCATCAACCAGTGATGGGATTTGCTGCATCTAACTTCATCGCTGGCACCATTTTTCTCAGTGCTAGAAAGCATGTGGATGCCATCTTCTGTTTGTTTATTACATATTACTGGACAAGGACGACCCAGTGCATAGAAGTGGTCGGGTTCAAATACATGATCACGAATGTATACCTGAAAAATGGATACATAAATACACCCCACGAAAAGATCTAACTTGATACTGGTCTAAAGTCTAAACTCGAAAACCCTGTAAATGGCTAATCAATTCCACATATGTGCTCAAAACCAACCAACTCAACCCACAGCCTAAACATATAGTCCGTGAAATGGAGGTAGTTCACTAATTAGCTAGTGGTAGAATGCACAAAGAAAGTCAGCTAGTGGAGGAATGCGTGAAGACAGTCAACTAGTGGCACCCGTATAGTAACAAAGATATAAAGATATAGAGTACCTTTAGAATGAGAGGAAAAATAAGACAACACTGTAAGCGAGTAGGATAACTCACTTCCTATTTAAGATAGTCCTTTACCTGTAATCCACTTTTAATTGCCAGCTTATGCAGGTTTGAATTGTTTACAATGTTTGAACGCCTACTAGTCAGCTGTCCTTCATCTAGGGCATTGTTTGAGAGAAATGTATACCTCCCAACAGAAAACTTAAGGAATGCATCACCAAGAACCTCAAGCCTTTCCAAAGAGAAGTGCTCACTGCATTTCTCTGTTGTGATTGCTTCAAGAACCTAGGGCAAATTCATACCAAGAGTTAGGCGATGTCAAAGATTGTTTATGCAACACTCACTCACAAACCTGTGGTGTTTTAGAAAAAGGTAAACCTCCACAGAGAGGAAGAAGGTCTCACATGGCCCACAGTGACTTCACCTCCCTCAGGGAAAGCAGCTGCTAGTTGCTCTTTCAATTCAATAGCAACAAGCAAACTTTCAAGGCGATGCATAAATGATGGCAAAATTGATAAAGAACTTCCTATATCTTTTGAGAAACCAACAATCTTTAGCTGACACAGTTCTGGAGGCAGTTCAAAAAAGTGCTCCTCTTTTTCACGCAACTCTGAACAAATTGAGAAAATAAGATGCAATCAAGATGAGAGAAGCACGACTAGAATCACTCTATCCATCAATTCCAGACAATGACAGGCATCTAATACAAGAACATATTTTGATTTAATGCAGTTGGTTATTTCCAGGCATGAGACATGTATTAACATTATTCATGGTTCCAGAAATGTAGTCTTATTTATTTGAGGTCAAACTATAGTACAAAAACAATTTAACTAGGAACGCGGTGTAGCAGTCTTGCTTTGTGATATAAATTAATGCATTGCTGCACCCAGCCTCTCTACCCATATTAATAAAACTGTACCCACTTCACTTCCCACTGCTGTGGTAAACACCTTGACCAACATAAAAATATTTATGTCTATGAGAAAGACAACATAAAATGGTGAAATAATAATTACTAAAGCAACTAAATTTCAGATTTTTTTTCCAAACTACAAAATAAAATATTAGGGTTTTGCAGTAAGTACCAATAGTATCTTACTAATAGTTTCTGTTCATTCATTACCACCATGACTCACAGAGTCGCAGTAAGAAATATGGTCGCACACTCACCAAAGTGAACATGAGAGCACCTTTAATCTTTGATGTCAATGAAAACATTTTTTGTTTGATCTAAAGAATCTCTAATTTTATAAATACTCATTGTAGTAAGGTTACTTCAGTGCTAGAAGGTTGAGTATATGCATCATGCCTACCTTCTTGGATGAGTATTCATATTTGGTATCTAGCTACCCAACAATAAAGCATACATGCTTTACAAGATAAGATGCCTTGTTGTAAAACTAAGCTTACTATCCTGATATAAACTAGCGGTGCACAGAACAATAAAACATTACCTGCATTTCCCTTCTTTCTTAATAAGTTGTCAGAGCAGAAAAGCTGTTTTGCTTTAAGAAGTGGCTGTCCAGGGTAGGAAAGATGAATGCCAAACCTATTACATAAATGTCGACCATTAATATAAGTTATGAAAGCGGATTGCAGAAAGTGCAAAGTATGATTTTCCATACTCGATCATTTAATAATATAAATAATATAAATTAAGAATCCAAATGGAGCTGCATCGGTAGACAAGGTAATGGACTTTTACCCAACTTTTGCCAAAGGACAGAATATTCAGTTTTTGCTGTGAATAAGGCCAAGCATTTGAGCAACTCCTCTGAACCTACCAAACGGTCCAAACCAAGCGCATTAAGCTCATCTCTGTCACTCATTTTCTCATTTCCAAGATCCGTACACTCTTTTTTAACAGGTTATGGTGCACCATATTTCTGAACCTACCAAACACTAATAACACTTACCACATCTATAACTTTCTCGCACGTAAACTCATAATTTTATGCTATCATTACATGTCTTTCATCTGTAAGAATGTCAAGGACAAAGTATCATGCTTAGGCTAGAGCCTAGATCTGACTGAAGGTAAGGAAGCACTTCACAAGTTCATTCTTCAGGTGGTGTGGCAGCCCCACATCCTGAACAAGCTTTTAGAAATTCAAAGTCAGTATGCCTACCAATAAAAAATCTTGTGGTTGGATGTCGATGGGTGTATAATGCGGAAGTGGAACCTAATGAAAACGATAATAGCCTTAAAGGCCATTCCTAAACTGTTGGATAACCAGAAGCCAATTAAGCAAGTTGTGGATATGAGAAACACTCCACCTCTCGGTATTGTGTGTTTATTGGTGGTATTATGGCAATGTAAAACTCCAGATTTTCTTCCACATTAGGTTTTGCACAATGTTCAGGAATGTTACCCAACTCAAGTGGAAAGAGAGAAAAAGATAAAAGTAGGCAAGACAATGAAAAGCTAATTATAACATTTTACTAAAAATGGAAAGCAAGCTTGTCATGGTATCTTTTAGGTTATATTTAAGCGTGTGGATGATGGAGAATACTCGCCAGTCGCCATGACAGGTTGCCATGCCTGAAGAGCGTCAAGCATTGGATGATGTTGCATATGTTCATAGGGCCACCAAGAAATAATTTTTTGGAGATTTTCCAAAATAGGAGTAGACAGGTTTTGGAATTCAAAAATAGGAGTATAGGACTGCTATGTTTTTCTTCCCGAAAATAGGAGTAATATGGCAGTATTTACTGCCATCTTATAGTCATTAATGTCAAATAGTTGCAGTACAAACAAGGTTGTCAAAGGCGTAAAGCGCACCTGAAGCGCTAGGAGTCTTCCAGCGCTTGAGGAGCAAAGCGCAAAAAAGCGCTCGCCTGACTCGGGTGAAGCGCATTACTTATATAAAGTCACATATACTATTCTATAAATACCAAATATGATGTATGTAACATCATATTGAACCAAATGCATCAAAAAAGCTAGGATTCACCAAAATAAAGTCATGATTCACAAAAACAGAAGTCTAAATTTAGAATTCATGGCTTTAATACTAAAAGTAAAACTAAAAGACACTGAAATCCGAGCCTATTTCCCCTCGCTAAACTTGTGAAGGACTATTCGTCATTAAAAGAGGAGTCAGTTTCTTCTCCATTATCTGATTTGTATTCCCCAACATCCTCTTCAATTTCTCCCTCACTTTCCTCATCCATAAGCCTACGAGTAGTACTTGAACTCGCATTTCTGGAGTGCTTTCTAGTATATCTTATTGGTTCTTCTGCTCCCGTTGCCCTACTCACAGCACCCCACGTCAAGCCATCACCTTCATCATCACTGAAAACCGAGTCATCTGCTGCACTTGCATTCACATTTCCAGCCAACCACTCATTGCAATCATCAATGTTATCTAAAGCAATCGGATCTGTGATATCTTTAGAGTCAAAGCGAGCTTTTAAAGTTGCATTGTACTTCACAAATACTAAGTCATTTAGCTTCTTCATTCCTAGCCTGTTCCTTCTCTTTGTGTGAATCTAGAACATAAAGAAATATACATTACTTGTTTTAAATGTTTAATATTTGATTCCTAGAAGTTGTCAATTCAAAACTTACTTGTTCAAACACGCTCCAATTGCGTTCGCAGCCTGAAGAGCTACAAGTTAGGCTAAGAACTCTCATTGCCAAAGCATTCAACATAGCAGTATTCGCTATGACGCTATCATTAATAGCAGTATTTTTCAATGATGACAATATTTTTCAATGATGGCAGTAATGACTTTTATTTCAGGAAGAAAAACATAGTCGTCCTATTTTGAAATTCCAAAGAATATTTACTCCTATTTAGGGTAATTTCCCATAATTTTTCACCACATCCATTTCCACCTATAGAAACAACTTCTATAGGTGCTACTCCCACCTTTTGTCTAATTATAACATTTCTCAAGCGTTCTTTTTGTATGTCCACACATCCAACGCAACATACACATCTTGTCACGCTCACTTTTTAACAATGCCACATTCAAAAAATGAGTATGGCAGATATGTGTATGTTGTTTTGGCTGTGTGGACATACTAGAAAAGACCTCTTGAGAAATGATATAATCAGAAAAAGGTGAGGGGTAGCACCTATAGAAGTTAAGATGTAGGAGTCGTGATTGCATTGGTTTGGTCATTTGCGTAGAAGACAGAGTGATGCACCTGTTAGACTAGTTGAGAGGTGGGGAGAAGAGGTGGGGAGGAGAGGGAGATGAAGACTCAAACAGACTTGGATTAAAGGAATCATAACTGATATGCTTCTTCTTGGGTTGGTGTTGTGTAACAATAAAAATATCGTTGCCCGGAGCCAAAAGGCTAAAACCAATTTTATTCCAAGATTAGCCAGAATGATTCCTAACAAGGGGTTTAAATACCCATCCACTAATTCCCAAACTAGGAAACTAAATCCTAGAAATCCTAATCAACTACAACTAGGAAATAGAATAAAAAAGATCCTAATCAACTTCAAATAGGAAACAAATAATAGAAATCCTAATTAACTCCTAATAGGAAACAAATATTAGAAATCCTAATTAACTCCAAATAGGAAACAAATCAGGAAAATTAAAAAGAATAAATATTAATTAAGCAGCCCGCAACCAGCCCACGAAGGTGGGCTCAAGCCCGTTCCCGCCTTCAGTAAACCCACAGGGGCTTCTGCCCCTTTTCTTCCAAGCCCAGATTCTGCTTCATATCAGTTGGTGAGAGTATGGCTTTGGAGAGAGCAAAGTGGAGGACGCATATCCATATGGACGATTGATCTCTTTTTTCTCTCTTCTCTCTCGTCTTTTATCTTCTTTATCCTTCTATGTTCTTATGTTATTTTTATCTTTTATCTTTCTTATGTTTCTTTATCTTTTTATCTTTTATTTTTCTAATGTTCTTATATTATTTTTACCTTATACTCCGTATTTATTTTTATTTGATCCATTTTATCTTACCTTATCTTTTTATTTTTCTTATCTTTCTTCTCTTTTTGGATCTGGTATCATGAGTCGATACATGTTAGCTGATCCCAAAATCTTTTGAGAATAAGGCTTGGATGTTGTTGTATCCATTTTTACCTGGCTGCCCAAACCATTTTCTCATACTTTTAGTAGTAGCATCAGGCTTGAAATAGAAAAAACTTAAATGGAACAAAACGAGAACAAAATTAAAATAGATCGGTGCATGCTAAGCTGTCCTTTTCTTTCTTCATTTCCTCCTATCGTCTTCCCTTTTCTTAATTTTGTTTCTTATAATGAACCTTTTTCTTCTTTTCCATCATTTGCAATGGAGAGCCAAAAACTCACTATGTTTTGGCTTGAGAATATGATGAAATAAAGTAAAATGGCTCACTAAACTATCTGCACTTCTTTGTTATGAAGCAGTAGTTAGTCTATGCAATATTTGACGCAATTTTCACTATGAGTCATCCGGAAACAGTCTCTTTGTACTTTAGTACAGGGGTAAGGCTGCGTACATCCGACCCCCCTACCCCACCGTATGGGAGCCTTTGGGGAAATGATGATGATGATGATGAACCTTTTTCTTATGTATCTTTAGCTACTAATCACATTATTTCTTTTTGCAAAAGCTTGGTGATTTAATTTATTGGAAATACAATGTAAACTCTTGTTTTGAATTAAATAAATAATTAGTAGTTCGTTTACTATATTTTATACTATCTCCGTCCCGTTGGAAGGTTCTCATAGCAAAACGGCACGGTTATTTAGACAATAATTAAATAAAGTACTTCGAGTATATTTTGAGAAATAATTGTAATATGTATACATTATAATGTAGTTAGTATTGATAACTGTGATGTTATAAGTGTATTATTGTTAATATTTAATGATTAATTTGTCACTTAAGATTGTTAATTGTTTCCTAAAATGGAAATGAGAACCTTTATATGGGACGTCCCAAAAAGGAAAGTGGGAACCTTCTAATGGGACGGAGGAAGTATTATATTTTGTAATATATTATATTCAAATATTGCATACGACTACTTGTTTCCAGTCAACAAGACTTGTCTCAAAAAGCCACTGCGAGTGAGAACCTTAAGGGGAAGAACTTTGGGGGGTTGAACAAAAGGAAGGGGTGAAGACCCATTTAGAGGCAAAGGTGGCATCTTGCAAGAGCATGAAGCAAAAAATCATTGCAAGATCCTATCATCGCAACTAAGTATCATGTTATGACCCTAGCCACGTGTGAATCGATATGGTTAGTGGTTACACATTGCCTCAAATATAATATATCATGAGAGGACTAAGCATATACTAGTGGATTGTCACTTCATTATAGAAAATATGATGTGTTTTTTATCAACTCGCAGACATATTAACAAAATCTCTTAGAAGTCCATTGATTGGGCGAATTTGAAACAAGCTTAGTGGATGTGATTAAATGATAGGAATCAAGCATATTAGAATAATAATAGAAATAATAAGTATTTCTATATCCTAATATGCCTGATTCTTATCATTAAAATTAAAATGCTCCAGCTTGAGGGACAACGGTGAGACGTATAACTGTAACCCTAACCCTAATGGTACTGGGCTTAGCCAATTTGGTATATCATGCATTACAAACAGGGGCCTGTACAAAAAGAGATGTATCAATGAATTATAGTTCATTTCATATTCTACCGGGGGGATATACCACGTTGTTATTGAACATGTGATTCACATCTTACATACTACAGCATGTAAAACAGGAGTTTATTTCAAGTATGCATCCGCATGTAAAAAACGCATGTTTGCACCTGCGCTTCCACCAAGCTACTGTAAATAACGCCTACAGCCACCCATCACACCTAGCTAATTTTATTATGTATTTATTTCTAGCTTGAATTGTATGCAAGGATGTTGTAAACTTCAAAATTACATCATTAATGTAATGCATTGCATTTTATCAACAAGAACTTACCGGTTAGCATAATGAGTCACATGGTTTGTGGAATCTTTATACAAGCTGTACCCATCCTTGTTCACAACAATATCAGAGACGAAGAAAAATTTCTCCTTGCATGGCAAATACACCAAGCTGTTCACAATGTCATTTACACTTTTTGGACCATTAGCAAGTTGTAGCTGGTTGTGAAGTTGAGAAATCCTATCTTCCTGAGCATACTCCGAAGAATTAAAAATTGGGGATGACAAACATCTCCGGACAAGTTTCCAGTCAACAAATTTTGTGTTATCCTCATGTGAATTCAGAGGAAGCAACAGGAAAAATGTTGAAATTGAATGACTAAATTCCTTTCTTCCCAACGACATGAATTCTGGAATGAACTCTTTTCGGTCAAGAATAATCTTTAGGAACATCTGCTGGAACTGTTCAGCTAGTTTTATCTGGTTTGCAATAAATTGTCAATTTTCGCAAACATAAACTAGGTGTGATGGTGAATTTGCATTTGAATAAGAGGATATATATAATTAATATACCTCATTGGTGCCAAACTTCACAGCTCCATTTGGATTAAGTACTGTTGATATAGATCTACCAAAAGACAAGTGAAAATCATGTATCATTTTCTCGGCATCTTTTGGAAGAGGTGCTTTGACAAACAGGCCAAACTTCTTATAATCTCTATCAGCAGGATTAGGATAGAAATCGATATTGTAGGAGTGTAGACAAACAGGATTTTCTGTTTCAGTCCATGGGTTTCTAAAGACAGCTGGAACAAGCATCTCATGGAGTTCTCTTCTTGAACCCTCATCTGCATTACAATTTTAATTTAATACAATATACTATACAAACAACATCCAAGCCTTAGTCCCAAAAGATTTTTAATACAATATACTATAAAAATTAAAATGTCTAGTGAAGAAGGGAATTAGGTAATAGAACTACCATCAGAGTCCTCTGAATCTAAGAAGTCTTGCACCGCTTCATCTTTCTCGCCTAGATCTGGTAAAAGATAGTCAGTAAGAGCCCCAAGTTCATGTAAGGTCTTGCAAGCTCTCAAACAAGCATCCTTTCTAGCTGCTTCTGATGAAGATTGTGGAGCACTTTCAATTTGATGAATAGGAGCATTGGCAGGTAAGATTATCCGACAAATAGTTCCTTCAGTATCGTCGATAAAATAGAACTTTGGTATGGGGTTGAAAAACCTTAAAATGAAAATAATTGTATATCACAAGAATCAGTAAATTTGGAAATCACAAAACAATGTTTAGCAACTTTGACAAGATCTATTTTAATTACAAGGATAGCAAAGTATGATAAGATCATACTCATCATGTGGAAGCCTTGAACAATATCTATGAAGTAATGAAATACTTGAAGCAAAGCTGATAGTTGCTCCAGTAGTATCCACTTTGTATGTTCTTTCATCAAAATCGCTGAATGTCCCTGGAGATTCTCTGAAAAGAATTTCGCCATTCATCTTTGCTTCATCCCTTTTAAAATGATTGATTAGATGAAGCTCCTTCTGGTTGTTACTGCCAGTGTCAAAGTAAGATTTAGAATGTGCTTTTAAATACAGTTAACACAACCTGAAATCATACTTAAAACAAAATCTTGACATGCACCTGTTGACCAAAAAGGCATATTCTGAAATTGGCATACGTGCACGACCTCTTGATTGTATAAAGCTGGCAACAGTTTCTGGAAGATCAAAGCGTATTACCAAACAGCATGTTTGAATATCTAAACCTTCCTCTCCAACCTTGGTTGCCACTAATAGATTGAGCTGGAAAAATCCAAAGAAAGAGTTACAAACAAAATCAGTACTAAACAAGAAGGGAGAGTGTGTGTGAACAAAACGAAGGAGATAATATTTGCATTAATGAATCACTCAATCACCTATTTTATTACATGCATAATTGCATTCCAGACACTTTTTCAAGAATTTTCTTATGTCACACTGTCATATTACTTAAATAGTTCCCCACTGACTAATCTACATGTGAGAAGCAAGAGAAAAATAAGATGAAGATAAATGAAGGGCAAAAAGAAATTAATTCAGTTTGAGAACAAAGCGAGTTGTCCTCCCAGCCTTATATATCTCCTATTTATCCGTCCACATTATCCAAAACACACATATTATGAAAGCTGTGTAGAAATTAAAAATTAATTTCTTACATTTTACAAATTTACCCTTTTCTATGAACTACACCTTTAAGTCTGTTTTAAATTCTCTTTTCATATATTCCAATGTGCTCTAGATTTAATTTGAAGGGAAAATGAGGAAAAAATAAATAATGTTTTGTTCTTCCTTGAAGTTACCAAATTGATTTTTGAACTAAAAGTAAAAAGGAACAATAAGGTCATTTTCTCAAATTAACATTGTGAGTGTATTGGCAGTCCCTACAAGTATTAAAACAATTATATGAACTTTAGACATGTTATGGCCAAGTAGCGCAGCATTTTATGAGGCAATACCTCACCAGAGCGGAATTTGTCAAGAATGGTGTTTGTATTTTTGCGTGACATACTCTTCACTCCTGAGTGAACCCCAACAAGGAAACCACACTTCCATAAATTTAAAGGCTTCAGATTCTGAAGTATAAATGACAAAGACCTGGCAGTCACAATCCTATTGACAAAAATTATGCATTTCATGTTCGGCCGAACCCTACAAAAGATAGAAGGAAGTACTTAGAAGAGAAAAAATAATAAAGCCCTTCAAGAATTACAAACAGATTAGAAAAAGAGAACCATAACATTGTCTTTGCAAGTGAAACATATATGTAAAGCTCCTAAGTAATAGCAGGGTAAAACATCATAAAAGGGTATTGGTCAACCAAAGCTGGTAGAAATACTTTCATGGTAAGTTGGCATTATATCCGGTTTACCCAATTATTGAAACGGGGCAAATTGAGTAATATTAAACCATGATTTGAATATTAGATGTGCTTACCTAAAGTCAGAAAGGATTTGAATAAGTCGTAACATCTTTTGGGAGAAAAAAGGCTCTTCAAGAACCTCCAAATGTGCCAAATAATCTGTAATTCAACCCGCATGAGAGTTAACTGCTTACTTCTACTTATATTAACAGATACATAGCTCATATGAGAAATTGAGAAGTCAACGTGTTAAGGTGGTCATAAAAATAACTCATAATTTGCAAGATATTTAATATTACACTCAATGTGAAATAGCCAAAAGATGATAAAAGATAATATAAACTGCTAAAAACTGTAATCCTCTTACAAGCATAAACATCTAGGTAACTACTAACTATTGAATTTAACCGATACCTCTTTTACAGCCAGAAGCAAATATTGCAGCAGCTGGAGTTAGATATTCATCACATAGAAAGTTGTCAATGGCATTCCCTCTCCGTTCATAGTTGTCACTTTTTTTAAGAACATGGCTAGCCTTCACATAGCAGAAAGTATGTCAGATGTTCAAGTTTCAAATCATTATGATTGGTTATGAAAATAATGAACATTAATCAAGTGGATAAAAAGGTAGGGTTGTAAGTTCATCAAGAATGTAGAATGTCAGGAATTTTAAGATTGACATGTAACTTACAACTATACCGAGTTTTTTTCATTTAACATCATATTCATCCTAAAAAGTGAGTGAAAACATACTGCTGGAAATGGCATCTTATGGGATATAGAACACGTAGAAGCATTTATGGGTAGTAGAGACTCACTATTGCAAATTTGCAATGGAGTCAAAGATTCACTATTTTTTGGCTTGGAAATATGATGGACTTACTAAACTGTTTGCGCTTCTTTGTTATGAAGCAGCAGTCAGTCCATGTAATTTTCGACGCAATTTTCACTATGGGTCATCCGGAAACAGTCACTATGCGCTTTAGTACAGGGGTACGACTGCGTACATCCGATCCCCCTTTATCCCACCGAAGGTGTGGGAGCCTTTGCGGCATTGGTGACGGTGAGTAGAAAAAATAATTTCATACGCTAAAAAGTAAATGGTGTCAAACTGTCAATTCACTTTCCCAAATTATTCAAGAGTGATACTATAGATATTATGAATTTATTGTTTTTAATAAATAAATCAGACATCAAAATGCCTTGTAAACTAACCCTAGCCTGTGTGTGAGTGGTGCTTGATCAGGTTACAGTTGTGACTAGTACCGCTATTTAACCATCCCTTGACCCCCAAGTTAGTTTAAGTAGTCCTCTTCATGGTTAAATAAAGTTTTTAAGGCGTACGCCTTGAGTGTGCCACAGTGCAAAGAGGAACTAAAACGCCTCGAGGCTTATGCCTCTCTATGTGGGGTCTCTATGTCAATTGTCTCTAGGGGTAAGCCTCACATGCAGGAGGCATAACCTCACATAGCTGTGGAGGCTTAAGCCTCATTTTACCAAGTAAACGATCTAGTAAATCTTTAGAGTCAGACTTTATTTCACAAGTCAGGCCCAATAAGGATTTTTTTCTTTGGAATTGAGTTGGTTAAACAAATTCAAAATTTCAATATGCAAACCCTAAGATCCCTAGTTATATATTTTCCTCTTACGTTAGCTACTTTTTCTTCTCTGTTTGGCTGGAGTGTTTTACTCTTCTTTTCGGGCTACACTGTACATGGACATTAGTTTACAGCTTATATAATATGAAAAAATAATCATTGATGCAAGATGATGCTTCAGTGGCATTAGTTCACTAGCAGTTTATTTTATGATCTTTCATCATTGTGGCTACTTTCGAGTGCATTATACTACTTGGCTAACACATATGGTTATTTTCACTAATTCTAGAATTTTATTATTCAATTAGGACTTGTGTATAATTATTTTACAAGTGTTTTAAATTTATAGGTGAAGATTAAGCCTGGGCTTGTCTCAAGGCTTATGCCTCATGAGGCTAAAGCAACACGAGGCTCATTTTAGCCTTCCAAAACATTGATCTACTGCCTCTTTAAACCAATCTCAACTACCACATTGCAATGGAACAGCTACAAGCATGAGATAAAAGATTTGGAACCAATAATAGTATTTCCATTGTAAAAGTTTATGGAAGATACACAAAATGGGGAAATGCATCAATAGAATAAGCGCGGATACCTGTAATGCCCCCCAAAGACCGAGATTTTCAAGACAGAAGAGCAGGTGTGAATGCAACCTTCTAAGCGTCCTTTTTGTGTTCATAAGAGTGGTTTGATCACCACTTTTCTTATGCAACTCTGATACACTCTGTTGGAGCATATGAGAATTAAGTTCAAATTTATTCATGTTATACTAATTCAGAAGGCTCTCATATAAATACCTTGTACTTTAGTGTCTCAAGTTTATCACAGAACACCATAACAGAACCCTCTTTAGGTGAACTATAATAGTAAACATTGACCTTTGGAGATCCCACAAATTGGGACAGTTCATCTGTATTTTCAACTGCATAAACCTAGATAGACGACAATACAAACCATTAAAAAGTACCAGACACAATGCTTCATATTGTTTGGTTATCAGTTAAAGATATCACAGCTGCATTACTGAACCGAAATGTGTGAAAGTAAGCCCTTGTCTTGGAAACTCTAGGTCCCGTTTACTAACAGAGATATTTTCCAATTTTCTTTTTTGTTTTTCGTTCTCCAATTTTCTGTTTTGATTTTCCAATTTTTCGTTCTCCAATTTTTTTTTCATTTTCCAGTTTTACATTTTCAAATCAGACAACATGTTCACCAAATTTTTAAGACCGAAAGTATGGTCCCAGTCCGGAACCGGACCTGGTACAACCCAAAACGGTTACCTGGTCCTAGGTATAAAAAAGTTGGGACCGAAACCGGCCGGTCCCAATGGCTAGTTTGACTAACTTTCTTTTTTCCCTATTGGTTGGCAACCCAACAGCTCTTTGGAAACTCTTCACTTAAGGACCGGAGCGGGACTGTAGGGTCGCCGATCGGTCCGGACAGGGACCACCGGGTCATTGACTGGACCGGGACTGCCCCTGATCGTCGACCGGACCACGACCGCCCGATCGTTGATTGGACCGGACGTGACCGCTTGGTCGTCGACCGGACTAGACCAGACCGGGACCGCCCGATCTTTGACGGGACTGGGACTCCCCAATCTTTGACCAGACCGGAATCGAGACTGGAACCCAGACCGAAGCATGACCAAAACAGAGCGGGACCGAGTCCACCGGTCCACAACTAGCCGTAAGCAGGCAAATTCATTGCAGCAGTACTGCAACGCCCACGCATTTCAAATTTGGAAAAATGGTAAAACTCACTTCTCGAATTCATTAAGGAAAAAATAGACATATCTCTTTTTTTAAAAAATGATTTGGTAAACGCATTTCTTGTTTTCCTTTCTCCAGTTTTCCAACATTTTTTTTATATACACATTTTCCACTTCTTTTTTTCAGTTTTCTAGTTTTCTGGAAAATGTCTCTCTTAGTAAACAGTCCCGTAATATCACATGATGTTATTTCCCCAATCACTAAAAGAAACCAACAAAGCACACATTTTCAGCATGTAAGCCCACCTTAGCACGTAATACATTCTCAAGACCTTCAATGGAAGCACCTGAAAATGGAAAGGCATTTTGTCCCAAATGGTGGTGAAATACCCCAGGAGTGGAAAACATGTAACAAGGAAAAAATAATGGATAATATGCGCAGAAATGCATGCAGTTATGCACTTACACATGCATGCATGAGAGTACACAACAAGGAAACCCTTCTTTTCCCACTGTTATGAGAGTACAAAATAATCGCCCTTCCCAGCAGTACACACAGTTATTGAGGGGTCATGCAAGTCAACAGGAAAAGAAGATGAGCAAGTCCCATTTCTGTTTTTAAATAGGTATTCTGGATTATAATTAGAACTCAATTACCCAATAGGTGCACACTTGGCTACTGCAACAAGAGATATACTTTGTATAAAGTTGGAAGTTCCTAATTCTATTTGACTATGTCCATAAACACAGGACCTTATAAGAAAAAATATCGATAAGTTTCCCTTGTGAAGTAAGGTATGGCAACAAGTAAATGACTAATAAGAAGCAACATATAGCGTCTCTAGAATATATCAGTATTTGGCTAGGATAAAATTAGCACAATAACTCAATTATTCAAGATACTGTACCAAATTTTACATCCAACCCAATTAAATTCACTAACCATCAGGCCGGTCATTGGGACAAGGTCTTGTCAAGGATTGATATGAATAGAACTTATGAATATTTCTAAGCAATAAGATACATCAATAATAACTGTATGGTGAGTCCAGGGCCAACTCATTTACCTTTTCCTAATTTGGGAGATGCCGTCATGCCAAATATACGAGGAAGTTTTTCTGAATCTGATTTGTAGAATATCTTCCAAATATTTTAAGAGATTATCATTAAGATGTACACATTAATAATCTTCTATATTAAAATATTATATAAGAAAACAATACCTTCATAATCTCTGCATAAGGGTGATTGCTTTCAATTTGAGCATAGTGACACTCATCAAATATAAGAAGGGCGATTATTTCCATCCTGATAAAGCAGTGGGAAAGATTATGAAGCAAGATTTGAGGGGTCATAACAAGGACCTGTAAAAGAAGGTGAATGAGGTTGGTAAGAACATGCAGACTCTAAAACAAGATAAGAGTGTTGTCTTATTTCAAGTATTAACAAGGCAACAATAAGCATCCCATTCAACAGGACAAGGATCCTGAAGCAGGGTATGGTTTACATTAAAAAAATAGATTGGATGTGCAGCAGATTGGCACAGCTTACTAAGCAATGTTGTTCGTTAAACCCCAAAGAATAGTTATTTGAAAGACAATGACATATGTAGAGACAGATTAGACTAACCTCATACTGCTCCAATTCCTTTTCCCAGTCATGATGAGTTTTTATACGCTTTAAGCTCCCACAATATGTCCCAACTTTAAAATCAACCGATTCCTCAATGACCTTGGCTTGCTTTCCAATTCAAAGACAAAGCAAAGAAATTCCACATTATCATTATGACATTAGAAAATTGCAACACAGAAAACATTATGCACAAGGTTCTATGAAAGTCAATTATTAAATTTAGATAACAAAAATACATCCAAGATAGCTAGCATATGACATGCCAGAATAAATAAAAATCCAAACCAAAGAAAAGTGTCCAGGAGTGAACTTCTGAGAAGATCATAACATTGGCTCACCACGGATGGTTCACAAATAGGCATCAGCTTCCTAGAGTAGTAGAGCATATCGTACATGTTAGAGCTCTCATCTTTCAGGCCAACTTGGGACATGGTGTGACTGAGTGGTACAGTTACTTTTGGTACAAATCCTTACTAAAACATCTTCATCTGAACTGGTCCTATTCATGCTGCTCGGGATCTCAGACATTATCCCATTTTAATTATGATTTCAGTTTCAATTATACCACTACAGGCTGCGCAGCGAAGTATGCTACGACTTAAGATGGAATATCAACCCCTAACATATATCTAAGAAATTCAAGACTTAATTAAAAAAAACTAATAGGTATCTACCTATTACCGTAAAGGTGTGTGTGTGTGTGTGTGTATTGTGTCACGTATATCTCCCAGATTAAAGTTCCACTTAGACTCTCCTTATGTGAAGCCTATCCCTTTAACAGACTCATTGAATGGATAGGAAGTGTGTGCGCGTATTACTCTCTGTGGCCAACTATATGAATGTGTATACGCCGCTATGTAAATAGATATATATGGCTCTCAAGAAGAGGTGAAAAATGTGTGAATGAAAAATATATTCAGTTTCTCAAATGAGACTTCACTCTATAAATGTTAAAAGAAATAATATAATGGCGTGTGTTGAGAGTGTCTCTCTCTCGAACCTCCGTTCCAGGCTCACGCGCAAAAATGGCGTTCGTAGATCCTTGTAACGAGCTCAGTGCTTGGTGTTCCTTGGCTGATTTTCAATCCTCATTCCATTTCCGTCTCCGGATTTGTAATTGGAATACTGAATTAAGGCCACAAACCCCAAAATCAATTCGTTCTTTGCGCAGAGTACTGTTCAACAACGACTTTGATTTTAGTGAAAAGATTGCAGTTAGGTGTTTAGATTTCTGGAATTGAAGATCTGTCTGGGTTCGAAACCTGAGTAGATTCGACTCCAGCTATTCCTTGATTCCGTTCTTGATTCTCGCGTTGCTCTGGACTGGTGTTGCGACCTAGTTCAGCTATGGCACGAACTAAGGGACCAGGGGATGCATCTACCACTCGCATAACTCGTTCCTCCTCCAGGTATTCCGTCTTGGAAGGTTCAGAGGAGGATTTCCCTTCCTTAAATGCTGCGAATTTAGTGAAGCTGGCAGAAAAGAGTCAACCTGGGAAGGCTCAAACTCCAGGGAACTCTGTCAAAGTTCCGGATATTATGCAAGCTATTGGGATTGGACTTACTGGGAACGAGATGACCAATGCTACAGCCTACAGGGGTGACACTTGAGGCAGAGCTGTGAAACTCTTCTGCTGTAGATAAAATGAAAAATGGAAACAAAGAGGGGAGTTTGGTTGTTCATGGACAGTCTACACAACCAGATGGAGCACTGCCTAAGCAAACTGTTAAACAAATTGAAATCCCTGGGAAGAAGATGAACCAGGCAGTAGGGGTGAATTTCTCTTCACATGAGACAGAAATGTTGGAAACTGCTGTCATTAGCCAGTCTACACAGCATCAAACTGTAAAAGACCTAGGAGCTAAGCCTTGGAGTAACCTGTTCAAGGACAATAGGAATCCTACACATGGAGTCAAGCTGAGATATATCCCGCCAAAAGGTAATGAGCTAGACTTTTCTGATAAAGTTTTGCCATCCATGATTGAAATGTGGGGCCATTGCCTTGTTGGGTGCTTCACGGTAGATTCCCTGGTCTTAAAGAAATTTATGAATTGAGATCAAAGTGGAATGTCAATTGTCTGATAAGAACCCATGAAAGGGGTTGGGTTATTTTCAAATTTCATAATGAATTGGATAGGACTAAGGTGCTAAACGAAGGGCCATATACCGTGTTTGGAAAACAACTAATCCTAAAGGTACTTTCTGAGGACTTCTCATTTGAGGATGAGGAGTTTCTAAAAGTACCTATTTGGGTTAAATTTCCTAAACTACCTTGGAAACTATGGAATGATGAGGCTATGAGTGAAGTAGCATCGATGGTTGGTATTCCACTGACTACAGATAAAGTAACCCAAGAAAAGACGAATCACAACTTTGCTAGAGTCCTAATTGAGGTAGATGTTTCCAAACCACCACAACTTTCATTTCCTATACGGTTATCTTCCCGTAAGATATTCCAACAAAAGGTGGTATACGAAACATTTCCAAATTACTGTTTTCATTGCAAGGCATACAGGCACCACCCGTTCATTTGCAAAAAATTGATACCATCTAAGGATGACAAAGCTGTCCACAATACACAAGAAATTGGGAAAACTGTTTCTACCCATGGGGTAAAAACAAAAGACGGAAATAGGTTGGAAACTAGTGCACACTCTGTGACAGTTAGGGAGAAGCAGGATATGGTAGAGACAGATGTGCTTGATGAAAACTTTACAACGGCTGATGGAATTGGGGAAACTATGGCTACTCCGGAGGTGGAAAAACATGCTGCTGGCTTACTGGAAACTGAAGAACAGGCTGCGGGCTTACTGGAAGAACACGCTGCGGACTTACTGCAAACTGAAGTGCAGGGACAGGAACTACCTAATGCATTGAAACCAGTTCCTGATGTGGAGGTACTTCCCCCACGCAATTTGAAGCTTTGCCGGATTTTGTAGACACGGCTGCAATGGATCTTGGCAACAAGACCACAAGAAAAAAAGAGAAGAACAAAAAAAATAAAGGGTGAGACAAATGAGAAGTATAAAAGACGGCTTGGAAGATTGATTGGAATGAAGGTAAAATAATTTCAGTCATGGTCTTCCTTGAGTTGGATTTAGCTCGCTGCATTCCCTGGGAGCTGCCGCTTGTTGCTGGCATTTGATACTTCTTTTAGTTAACTAGTTATTTATGATTTTGTGATGTGGGGGCTGTCCCATTTCCAACTGAATTATGATTTCTAGGTTAGTCTTCTCTACCTTAGATAGCCATTGAGATCTTGATCTGATGCATTGTATAATGCTATTTTTCGGGTGCTTATATATATACTTACATTTCATCCAAAAAAAATAAAAGGGATAATATAAGCATGAAAATGTGGATCCAAAAGAAATCATCATTGTCATTGCTTAAGAAAATATTACTCGGAGTATGACTAAAAGAGGTGGTGATTCCTAAAATATGACTAAGTAGCTTATTATTCCTATGATAGTGGTATTTTGCATGTATGGTTAGTGTTATGATGCTATTTTTACTCCCTTCAACTTAATTATTACTCATATAAAGGGATAAGGTTCAAATTGGACACTTTGAGAACCTCATATTGGACATTAAGGTTTCAAATGGATCAAATTGGACACTATAGTTACATATGTATTTCATATTGAACACTAAAGTTTCATAACTCATAGTTTTTGGACACTCACTTATGATTCGTTCTCTTCTTCCATTAATAAAAATTGTTAGTCTTATTTTTTCTTTCCTTTTTGGTGAAAATAAACTAATTTAATTTATGTATATATTTTTGGAATATTTAATTTGAGGTTTTAGAATATAAAATTTGATTTTAATTAATAACTTCTTATATTTAACAATTTTTAAATATATTTAGGACATTTCATTCATATGATTCTTATAAAACTTTGTGAAATATCGTTTTGTTAAATTGATTTAACAATATTAATTAAAGAACTCAACCACATTATAATAGATTTTCTTAATTAGAACATCCAATTATATATCTAAATCTAATAGAATTTCAGATAGAATGAATGAGGAAGAAGATAATTCTCATTAACTGTAATGAAGAGTACAGAGAGTATTTATAGAAAGCTACAGCTCAACTGAACTAACTAACTAACTGAAATACAACTGACTTATACTAATACAATTCGTATAGTATATCTAACATTCCCCCCTCAAACTTAGGGTGATTTTGCTAGATATGCAACCACACTAAGTTTGGTTCTTAAATCAATGAAGGATGAAGCAGACAAAGGTTTTGTTAAAATATCAGCCAGTTGATGTTGAGCAGGAATGTGAAACACTTGCAATTGCTTCAGTTGAACTTTCTCTCTGACAAAAAATAGATCAATCTCCATATGCTTAATGCGAGAGTGTAAAACAGGATTGTGAGCAAGCTGAATTGTGCTTTGATTGTCACAATATATCTTTGGAACTGCAAAGGGAACCTGCAGTTCATGAAGTAGAAATTGAACCCATAGAAGTTCAGCTGCTGTATCAGCCATGCTTCTGTACTCAGCTTCTGCTGAGGATCTGGCAACACGCAATTGTTTCTTGGACCACCAGGAAATGATATTGGGACTAAGGAAGGTACAAGATCCTGATGTGGATTTTCTGTCAGTGGGATCAGAGGCCCAATCAGCATCACAGAATGCTGAAATGGGTAGAGACATGGTAGATAAAGGAATGGGTTTGATGAGAATTCCATGTGTAATTGTGTCAGACAGATAGCGTAGTATGTGCTTAACTGCTTTCCAATGATCTTGCAGAGGTGCAGCCATGAACCGACAGACCTTATTAACCGCATAGCTGATCTCAGGTCTTGTTAGGGTAGCATACTGTAGAGTACCAACTACAGATCTGTATAAAGAAGGATCAGGTAAGGATTCACTCCCTTCATGGGTAAGCTTGCAAGTGCTAATCATAGGAGTCATGACTCCTTTAGAATCTGTCATTCCAGCTTGATGTAGTAAATCTCTGACATACTTAGCTTGAGAAAGATGTAGGCTTCCATCTTGAAGCTTCTGGACTTGGATTCCTAAAAAGAAATCAATGTCTCCCAGGTTTTTAAGAGAGAAGGAGCAGTTTAATTTGCTGATAAGAG